CTCGAGGTGACGCTGCTCGAGGCGGACGGCGCGTTCGACCCGGCCTTGCCGTGCCTGATCGGAGACGTCCCGACTTCGATGGGGCTCCGCGGCCAGTGCATGGCCTATATGGAGAGCTTCCCGGGCACGGAGGAGAAGGCCAAGAATCGCAGGGGTCAGAAGGCCCTCACTCCGATGGCTGCCGATGGCATGGAGAGCGTCCTGAATGGCCTGTTCCACGCGGAGCAGCGCATTGTGCCTCCGGCGGCGGCGGCGGCGGCGGCGATTAAGCCGGATTCGCTGAGGTGCGCTTTGATCCCGAGCATCTACGTCGTGGACAAGAAGCTCGAGACCTCGGCGTTTGAACTGGGGCAGTTGCCCACTTTCAGGGCGTGCCTTGGCGGCAGCAAGACGTTCGTCGTCGTCAGCGGTGCGTCTGTGTACCACTACTTGGACTCCTTGGGCAAAAAGTACGACGGCAAGGTGGTGGCGGGGTTCCTGCGCGACTTGCCCCAGAAGGATTTCGACAGCTTCATCGCGCAGGGCCACCCCGTCTGGTACGGCAAGCAGGAGACTGGCCAGGCCATGTACCTCCCGCCTGGCAGCTTGTTCTGGGAGCAGGTCGGCGACTCCGACTTCGGCGGCGCCAAGGCCGTGGTCATGTGCAAGGCGAAGGTCGACAAGGGCACGGGCGAGCCCATTGGCAAGGACACGGAGGCGCTCCTGTCCGACGTGTGCAAGTGCCTGATGCAGCACGGCACCCCCGACGCGCTGGCGGTCGCGGCCCGGGACCATTTGGCTGGCATGAAGGCCTCGTGAGTGAGTGAGTGCTGCCGGGCTGCAGCGCAGCGCAGGCGCGCCGCATGCGGCAGCGTGCCAGGGGCGCTGATTGCCCAGCAATCGCGGCGAGGCGGACGACGACGAGGACAATGACGATGACGAGGACGATGGCCACAGCTGGCGATGACGAGGACGAGAGGGGCGACGAGGACGATGACGAGGCCCGCCGCGCAGATGGATCATCCATCTGCGCGTCGTCGTCGTCATCGTCGTCGTCGTCGTCGTCGTCCTTCGTGGATGGCGACGGCGACGACGACGATGACGACGACGACGACAACCACGACCACGACCGCGACGACCACGACGACCACGACAACGACCACGACGACGACGAGTGCCGCCGCGGGCCGCCGCTTGCTAGCGCGGCAGCGCGGGAGCCTTTCAGGCTACTTTCAGGAGGGCGGCATTGCGCCGCCCTCGCGCCAGGCGCGAGGTCGCGCCTGGCTTTTTCAGGGGAGCTGGCGGGCCGACGGCCAAGGAGGCCAGCACGGGCTTGCCCGCCGTGAGGTCGGGGAGAAGATGGGGGGGAGGGAGGGGGGATAGGAGAGAGGGGGGCGGTGGCCCTGTAGGCCCCGCCCTTCCCGGGCCTGCTCGGGGAGGGAGAGGGAGGGCGGAGGGGGGGGGCGAGGGGGAGGGAAGAGGAGAGAGGGAGGGAGAGATTGGAGGGATGAAGGGAGGGGGGGGTGATGGGGAGAGGGAGGGAGGGGTTGGATAGGGTCAGCGCTCGCACTGGCCGCGAGAGGAAAACTCCTCGTTGCTTCGCGCATCCCCGCCAGCCCATTCAGAAACGACACCCAGGCGAGTTGAGGTGATCATGGAAGCGTGGGAGCACAGGAGGGGGCATCTGAACCGAGCGAAGGAGGGATGAGGAGAAGGAGCAGGCTGGATGCATGGATGGGGGAGTTGAGGAGACATGATGATGATGATGATGATGATGATGATCATCATCATCATGATGACCATGATGATGGTGATGGTGATGATGATGATGATCATGATGATGATGATGCTGCTGATGGTGATGATGAGGATGCGAAGGGGGAGGATAAGGAGGATAAGGAGACGGATGTGAATAAGGGAGGATGAGGGGGAGGAGGAGGAGGAGGAGAAGGATAATGAGGATAATGATGAGGAGGAGCACAAGGCGAATAGAAAACCCAGCAGCCTTTTGGAGGCCTCTGGGGGCGTCTCGGGGGACATCTTGGCGGGCCCAGGGCCGTCTTTAAGCGTCTTCGGTGCCTCTGGGATCCGTGCGGGGCCTCTTGGGGGTCTCTTGGGAGCCTCTTGGAGGCCCCTTGGGCGCCTCTCGGGGCCGTCTGGGCGCGCGTTGGGGCTCTTGGGGCGCTCTCGGGGGCCTTCGATGCGCTATGGGGCAATGTTGGAGGAGATCGATAAGAGGGGGGCCCAAAATGGCCCTGGATTTCGGGGGCCCCAAATATCGCCTCTTGGGGTGCTATTTGGGCGCTCTTGGGCGCTCTTGCGGCCGTCTTGGGACTCCCCTGGGCCTCTCTTGGGGCCTTCTTAGATATCTTGGGGCTTCAGATCACCATCGGAAACGAAGAGGCGATAAATCAAGACAACATTGAGAATGTGTTGAGGTAATTGTTGAAAGATTTCGGCGTCTTCGGGGCCTCCTTGGCCGTTGGCCATTCGGAGCCGTTTTGGGGCGGTCTTCAGGCATTGTTGGATATCTTGAGCCATCTTGGAAGTCATCTTGGGCTCTCTGAGGCCGTCTTGGAGCCGTCTTGGGCGACACCTCGCGGGGCGCCCCGCCCAGGTCCAGGGGAGAGGGTGGGGGGAGGGGCACCCCCCTCCCCGAAGGGGAAAAATGGGTTTCGAGGAGGACCCCCCTCTAGACCACCTGCGCCATAAAGGGTTCGTGGGAGTAGGAGCAGGAGGGGGAGAGGGCTCCCCGACCCCGACCTAATTCCTTCCCTCCTTACCCGTCCTCGTTACCTCACCTCCCTCGCCTCGCCCCTCGCCCTCCTCCCTCCTCCTTCCCTTCCCCCTGCCTCCTCCCTCCCCCCCTTTCTTGTCCTCCTTCACTCCGCTCCCCCTCGTCTTTCCTGCCCCCCTCTTCCCGCGTCTCTATTGTCTCCCCCCCTCCTTTCTCCTGTCTTTATTGTTATCCTTACCCCCGTCCGCCCACTCCCTGAACTCTCACTCCCTCGCCGCGCCCAGGCGGCGGCGGCGGCCGGCGCCTGCGCCGCCCCGGCGGCCCCCGGCGCGCTGAGCCGCGCAGCCGCAGCCCGTGTAGCCGAAACAGCAGCGGCAGCAGCAGCAGCAGCAGCAGCAGGCGCAAGAGCAGCAGCAGGAGCAGGAACGGGAAGGGCAGTAGGAGCAGGAGAAGCAGGAGCAGCAAGCAGTAAGCAGTGGGAGAAGGAGCAGGAGCATCAGCAGGAGCAGCAGGAGCAGGAGCAGGAGCAGCAGGGGCAGAAGGAGTAGGAGGAGCAGGAGGGGCACTGGGGGCAGGAGGCAGGAGGAGGCGGAGGAGGAGGAGGATAATGGGGGAAGAGGGGGCGGAGGGCGGAGGGGATGGGGGGCGGGGGAGGGGGCCCCGAGAGGAGAGGATGAGGATCGTTTTTTTTTTTTTGCGTGAGATGTTTCTGATGCGCCTTCGCGACCGCGTCTAATGACGCGGGGCCGCGAGGCTAGAACTCTCCCCCCCCCCAAGGCCTATCTTGATATCTCACCCTCTTGCCTCTTGCTGGGCGAGCGCGTGGGCAGTGTCGAAGTAATTTGATCGCGTATGTGAGATTCGTGAAATGGCGGTGAGACTGACGATGATGCGAGGGCTGAGGAGATACATGGAGGCGAGGAGGGGAGGGATACCACGTACAGTTTGCTCTCTGCTGTGGGGTTCAAGAGAGCAGCGTTCGTGCAGCGTGCGAGACCTGAGTACCTCACGCTGGAAATTTATGATTCCTCGTCCTCGTCCTCCTCCTCGTCTTCGGTCTCCTCTTCCTATTCGGCCTCCTCCTCCTCCTCCTCCTCCCCCTCCTCCTACTGGCCGCTGGTTTCCAATGTGCAGCAAGTTCGCTTTGTCTGAACTCTACGTCGGCCCCCCTCTGGGAACCCCATTGGAAAATCGCATTGGTAGCTGAACCCCCCTCTGAATTCAAAAGCTTCCAAAAAACTATGACCGCCCCCCCTTCTGAACTCGAACGTATCCGTTCCCTACCTGGAACGCTCGAATGTCCTCTGGGGGGCGACCTGGCCCACTGAGCCTAGGAGCCCCTCCGCCACGCGGGCCTCGGCTGCGTGCGCCGAAGGCCGTGCGGCGGAGGGCGCCATACGATGTCGTCAACCTGCTAGTACTGCAGCCCCCCCCTTCTTTGGTCGAGCTCCTCAAAAGTGGCCCCAAGAGGGCCCGCAACGCTCCGTGCCCCCAGGAGGCGCCCAGGAGGCCCCAAGAGGTCTCCAAGAGGTGCAGCTCCAGGCCCAGGCCCCCTCGAGTCTTGACCCCAAGGTCACGACGGGGGGGGTCTTCGGCCAGTGTCGGCCTCGGGGGGCCCTCGCCGGGCCCCGGGGCCGCGTGGCGGAGGGCGCCATCCGATGTTTCCAACCCGTTCGTTGGCCCCCCAACGCTCCCAGGAGTGCCCCAAGAGGCGCCCGGGAGAGCCGGGAGGCCCCAGGAGGCCTCCAAGAGGTGCAGCTCCAGGCCCGGGCCCCCTCGAGTCGTGGCACCGAGATCACGACGGAGGCGGATCTTCGGCCAGTGTCGGCCTCGGGAGGCCCTCGCTGGGCCCCAGGGCGGGCAAGAAATTGCTCGGGACGACAGGCAGATCCCAGCGAATGGTTGGAGACCTCCAGGGGTGGGCCCTGTGAGAAAGTCATGGCGTCGGGGGTCTGGGGGAGGGGACGAATTCCATTATCCCCTGGCGATGATGGGCGTGACAAGTGGGGGGGGGGCGGGATGGGGGCCAGCAGCGCCACGATTCGCGCCAGCGCCGTCAGACGGCGATGGCGCGAGTCATGACGTGGCCAGGGTGGGGGGTGGGAGGGGTGTGTTGCCGGGCCGGTGACCAGCGTTCTCGCGAACAGTAAGACTGTGCATTCCAGAGACCCCGACCGCTTCCCTGGTGTACTTGACGTCGCTGATTCACTTCTGATGGCCCTGGGGCCCGGAAATCTGCCCCGAGGGCCGAGGGCCGACACCGAGAGAAAGATGCCGATTGAAGCTGTCGTGCCGTCGGTGACCGGCGAGTGCCCGCCCTGCTCGAGCTGCGCCACGGCGGGCTGTCCCAGGCGCCCCTCCGGGAACGCTTGCCCGCGGCCCTCCAGGGCATCCTGGCGGGCACCTGCGGGCCGGAGGCCGCCGCAGTGGCAGCGCCCGCCGGGGCGGAGAGGATGACCAGCCTGAAGCATGTCCCTATCCCCATGGTTGGTATTGCCTAGTGTCGCGACGCCGACCTCAAGGGCTCCCCCAGTTTCTGAGGGCGTGTCCCTAAGATTGTCCTCGCCCCTGGGCCTGCCACTCCTTGGGAATAACCGCGTTGGGTGTTCAGCGTTGAGCACCCCCTCTAAGCTCTCGGCGGGGAATATCAGTTCTTGACCGCCAGCTCATCCAGAAACGACGCCAGGCGGCGCCCCAGGCGAGTAGAGGTGATCAGGGAAGTGTAGGAGCAAAGAGGGGGACAGCCGTTATCGTTCGCAGGAGGAGGAAGAACAGGTGGAGGATAGACGAGGAGGAGCGGATGATGATGAGAAACATACAGATGATGGTGAAGATGGTGAAGATGGTGATAATGGTGATGATGATGATGCTGATGATGATGCTGATGATGATGATGATGATGATGATGATGATGATGATGATTATGATGCTGATGCTGATGCTGATGCTGATGATGCTGATGATGCTGATGATGATGCTGCTGATTATGATGATGATGCTGCTGACGATGATGATGATAATGATGATGATGATATGATATGATGATGATGATGATGATGATGATGATGATGATGATGATGATGATGATGATGATGATGATGATGATGTTGATTGCTGATGTTGATGATGATGATGATGCTGATGATGATGATGATGATGATGATGATGATGATGATGATGATGATGGTGGTGGTGGTGGTGGTGGTGGTGGTGGTGATGATGATGATGATGATGATGGTGGTGGTGGTGGTGGTGGTGGTGGTGGTGGTGGTGATGGTGATGGTGATGGTGATGGTGATGGTGATGGTGTTGGTGTTTGTGTTGGTGATGATAAGAAGGAGGAATTCTTCGAGCGACAACGAGTGCTTCTGGCCTGAGGAGGAACATGGCGAATTTGAAGGCCTCTTGGGGCGTCTTGGGGGCCTCTTGGCGGTCCCGGGGGCCTCTTGGGCGCCTCGGGGAGCCTCTTGGGGGTCCAGTGGGAGCCTCTTGGAGTCCTCTTGGACGCGTCCTGGGGCCTCCTGGGCGCCTCTTGGGGCCCTCTTGGGGCGCTCTTGGGAGCCTTGGGAACGCTCTTAGAGCCATGTTGGAGCACATCGATCCACAAAGGGAGGAGCTTCAATTCTAGACGCTTCGCGTATCCCCACCAGCCCATCCAGAAACGATGTCCAGGCGAGTTGAGGTGATCAGGGAAGTGCGGCAGCAAAGAGGATGACGGCCGAACCGTGCAAAGGAGTGAGGAGGAGAAGGAGTAGGTGGATGGATGGATGGATGATGGAGTGGGAAGAAGGAGGATGAATAGGATGAGGAGGAGGCGGAAGAGGAGGAGGAGGAGGAGGAAGAGGACCTCGTGGCGGTGATCAGGCAAAGCCTATATTTAGCCAACCGGTGGGGGCTACCGTTAGTTCTCGGGGCCCTAGACGTCGCCATTGCTTTCGACTCTATGGATCACGGTTTGCTTTCCGAGGCGATGCTCAAACGAGGGCTTCACCCTCAGCTCGTGCGATGCCTTCTCCGCGAACTCAGTGGGTTTCAAGCCTGTCTCTGCGTGCCGGGAGCCGGAGCATCCGAGAGGTTTCCTCTTGAACGTGGAGGTAAGCAAGGTGGGGCCGAAACGCCGGACGAGTTTAACATGTTCTTGGAGGTCATTATCGGACCGCTGGTTGCAGAATGGGCAAGGAGGGGCTTCGGCTTCTCTCCAGGTGAGGGCATTCCGAAATTGACGCACCTTGTCTGGGCCGACAATGTTTTCTTATTCGCTTCAGGGGTGGACGAGTTCCGTACCATGGTGGCCGAGATCACGATCCAAGTCTACCGCCACAAACTTACTTGGAAGCAGTCGTCTTTAGAATATTTGTGCGCAGGTGGCATCGAGCCCCCAGGGGGGAATACCATTGAGGTAGAGACATCCGTTCTTGAAGTCAACCCAGTCGTGATGTGCAGAGTGACTGAAATTGAAGTTTTGGGGAATCTGCTTGATAGCGCAGGTTCTCCGCGACGGAGCTTGGACCATAGATTACTCAAAGCCGAAGGGTGTTACAGATCACACTCCTGCACATTCAACGGAATTGGGAGTGTGCCGTCCAAACTGCGCTCGTGGCAACAGGGGCCGGCATCATCTGCTTTATTCGGAGCTGGCACGTGGCATCCGAGCCAGCACATCTTGGCAGACATCAAAAGATGGGAGTTCCAATGGTTACGGAAAGTGCTAAGATTACGTCGTCGACCAGACGAAGGGGTAATGGAGTACAACCAGCGCACTGCTTTGCTTATCTGTGCATGGTGTGAAAAATTTGGCGTGCAGCTTTTGCATCACCGGGTATTCCGTGCAGTATTTATGCAAGCGTGGCGGGAGAATCACCTCCCCGACCGTCGTTTTCAAGCACACGCCCTTGCACTTCAACGATACAGATCATCAGAGTGGTGGGACAGCGCGCGGCAAGTACCGTGGAAACTCAGACGAACATTCAGTGCCACCCAGCGGACAAACGTTCATCCAGCTGGATGGGAAGATGCTTTCTGTTCTGTATACGGCGCTCAGTGGCGCCAGTACCTGGACCAGTTCAGCACCGCTGCGGCTTGGAAGTCCAATTTGGCCCACTTCATAAACCAAATCTGTGGCTCATGGGGACTCCCGGGGGTAGCCTGCAAGGGCGCTGGCAGAGAGCCGGATAGTCCAGCAGGAACACCGCCACTGAAGAGGCAGCGCATGCCGGACCTCCTCAGCTGCCCCGGCACCCACGCAACGCAGTACGAAGATATGGTTGTGGATTGGGAAGGTTGCGGATCACGTTTCCTGCTTGTCGTCGACTGCCAGTCTGTGCAGCGCATCACCATGGGACAGTTGCCCCTGAGAGACAATGAAGCCGAACCCATATTCAGCAGTATCTGCAACAACTTGGTGTCGATGCTCGAATTGGGATGGGCCCCTCCTCAAGCACATCACGACCCCGTCGCATGGCGGAAGCGAGATTACAATGTCGTAGCTGATTTTCTCGCTAACTATACAATGGACTCAAGAGCGTCATGGTCTAAAAGCTTCGATTTCCCTTTCCCTGGCGTGCATCTTTCTGAGTGTAATGTTGTAGCGCATTCTGATGGAGGTACCCGCGCGGGCTCGTGTTCGGCCACTGGGTGGGTGGTGGAGGCCGGGCGATGGGATGGTACAGCTTGGGAGTTTCACCCGATGACGATGGCTGGAACGTTTATTCCCACTCCTATTTCATCTTTCAGGGCAGAAGCTTTGGCGCTCGAAGAGTGCGCGCTATTTATATCAAGGCTGTGCGCCTCACTCGCCCCTGTCAGAGGGTAGACGTGCGATTCTCCATGATGCATCTGTGTCAGATCTGGTCGGCCGACACTGTGTGTGTCTCAGGCTTGGGGAAAGGAAAAGGGAGAGAAGGAGTGGGAGCAGGAAGGAGGAACAGGAGGAGGAGGAGGAGGAGGAGGGCAAGCACAAGGGCCAGAGGTCTCTTGGATGCCTCTCGGAGCCTCTTGGAGTATCTCGTGGGCGGTTCTTGGTGGCCTCTTGGGACGTCTTGGGGGTCTCTTGGCGATCCTGGGGGGCTCTTCGGGGTCTTGGGTGCCTCGGGGGGGCCTCTTGGGGCCGCTTAGGGTCTTCTTGGGGGCCTTCTGGGGGCCTCCTGGGGGCCTCTTGGGGGCCTCGTGGGGCCATCTTGGGACCTCTTGGCGCCTCCTGGGCGCTTCTTGGGGCCATTTTGGAGGAGATCGGTCAACGAAGGGGGGGGTCTCAATTAACGCCTCCCCTCCAGGAGGCCAACATGGAGCGAAAACCGTGATAAAATCAATGATTTTGGTTTCTTCGCCGAGGCCGTTTTGGACGCTCTAACTACCCGCGGCCCCCCCCGTCCAGGTCCAGGGGAGGGGGTCGGGGGAGGGGTAAACCCCTCCCCGTGGGGGAAGAGGGAGGGTTGGAAGAGGAAACGCCCTAAACCACCGACGCCCAGAGGGCTGGTGGGATTAGCCTCGCCCTTCGAGAGTGCCTAAAATCGCCTCTTGGACCTCTCTTGGAGCGTTCTTGGGGCGCTCTTGGGCGCTCTTGGGGCCGTCTTGGGGCTCTCTTGGGCCTCCCTTCGGGTCCTCCTGGGCCGTCTTGGAGCGATCTTGAGGCCTCGGAAGGCCATCGAAAGCAAAAAGGTGAGACGGCCATTTTTTTTTGATTTTCCTTAGATTTGGGAAGTGCTTTGGCCTCTTGGGGGCCTCCGTGGGGAACTCCGTGGCCACTTGGAGCCGTCCTGGAGCGGTCTTGAGGCCCCTTGGAGCATCTTGGGAGCCATCTTGGGCCATCTTGAGCCATCTTGCAGGTAATCTTAGGCTCTCCGAGGCCCTCTTGGAGCCATCTTGGGCCATCTTGGACGCTCCAATGGGTCGCGGCACCGCCCGTCCAGGTACAGGGGAGGGGAAGGGGGAAGGGGGAGGGGTAAACCCCTCCCCGAAAGAGATGAAGGGGGTTGGAAGAGGAAGAGCCCTAGACCACCTACGTACGCCCAGAGGGCTGGTGGGACTCGTCCCTCCTCCTCCTCCTCCTCCTCCTCCTCCTCCTCCTTCTCATCGTTCTCCTCCTCCTCCATCTCCTCCTCGTCCTCCTCGTCCTCCTCCTCCTCCTCCTTCTCCTCCTTCTCCTCCTCCTCCTCTTCCTGCCCCTCCCCCTTCCCCTCCTCCTCCGGCGCCTCCTTCTGCTCCTCCTTCTCCTCCTCCTCCTCCTCCTCCTCTTCATCATCTTCACGACCCTTAGGGATTATGCAGGGGCCAGCTCGAGGCCGGTCAGATAGGACGCCCGGC